ATGTCTAGCAAAATCCAGCCAGCACCCCCAGAGGAGTACGTCCCCATGGTGAAGGTAAGATAAACACTGCCCAAGATACGCAGACACGCATGTGTTCAAAGAAGGTGTTTCAGATACACATCTTTCTGCAACCCTTTCAACATGATTTAAGATTGGTTGCTGTGGTTATGTCACACTGTGGATGGAGAGTGGAACAGTCAACATCCCTCATTATTGGCCATGCTAGCTGAGGCTTGTTCCACAACACGCAGAGAAGTTTCTCCCTTCCTGACTTGGAAGGTTCAGCCATTTCCTGCTTGTGGCTTCAACTCTCTTTTCACCATTGTCTTGAGCATAATACTTGTATTTATTTGTAACTAAATGTGCCAAGATGTAAGCCTCTAAACTGCTAGATTACATCAACCAAAATACAGTTAACCCATTACTGAAGCAGAGTGAGACTGCTTCCTGTGGCTGTTCTAGGAATCACCATCAGAACTGTATGGACATGGTGACTTACAGACCTTTTTCCCCCTTGATCAGCCTTTGAGCATCCCAGGAGGGACATGGGGTCTGGCTCAAGTATTGAAATGCAGCCGCATTTGCCTCTTGTGATTCTTAGCTGCAGATAAACTATAATGAATATTGATAATTATTAAAAGTAGATGTGGTATGTAGTTTATCTTAAAGAATAACTTTACTGGGGTCTATCCAGTGCTGAATTAAAAAGATTTGTTTAGTTGCTTCAATTGGACTGAGAGGATCATTCACTTTTCGGCTTAGAAAGAAATGGAGAGATTGGTTTTTTATGGTGTTTTTTGAACAATGCATGTTACCTATGCATGTGGTTTGAGCATTTCTCCTTTTGCTCTAATCTGCAAGAAAATGGATTTTCAAAGTTTAGCTTTTGTATGCTGAGAATTTCTCTAATTCCTGTAAAACGTTGTACGCATCCTCCCAATTGCTCTATCTGGAAATGGTGGGATTGTGGTCCAAAATATCTCAGCATCACTATGTTGGGGGATCTGCTGTAGGTTAGATGTTTCAGAGCACTTTGAAATACACAAATGTATATTTGCTTTATGTACCTTCGGAGTAGGATCGTATTTGTGTCTTGTGTTTTCGTTAGAATGATGATGCTCAGTCTGATTTAATTATGCTTCATTGTCTTGCGGTAGGAGGTTGGTTTGGCCTTGCGAACTTTATTGGCAACAGTAGACGAAACCATTCTGGTCCTCCCAGCAAGCACTCACAGAGAGGTATAAGCTTTTTTTTTTTTTTGCATTTTTCTTACTGGGTTGTGGCCTACCATGATGTATTGACCTGTTTTTCTGGGGAAGAACAAAAATTCTAAAGCCTTTGTTTGGATTTTGTTTCATTTTCTGCCCACATTAGCATGTCAGCCTATTCATTAGATTTTAGGTTGGAATGAAGAGCACAGAACCTTGAGCAAAACAATGGTGCCAGCCCTGTGGTTGTGTAACTCAGTATAAAAATGCCTGGCATCATTTGATGGCAGTTCAAATGCTCTGCAGTTAAGAAGATTGAGGATTTCCAAGTGAGTCCAGAAAAAGAGTGATGAATGATGGGAGAGAAAGCCTAATTTATTTATGTATGCAAACAAACACACACACACACCCCTCTGTACTCTTCTCACTTCCAAGATTTGAGACTGTTGACAAACAGTAAACAATTAAATCATGTAAAGTAATTCGAATCTGCCCCTTGGATTCTTTTGGCAAATGCCAGAGAAGTGCACAGGAAAGGAGGAATTCAGTACTGGCATTCATTAGTATGCTAAAGAGCTAGTGTGTTGCAGTGATTAAGTATTTAACTGGCAGAAGGGAGACTGGGTTCTAGTCTTACCTTCAGCCATGGAAGCTGGTCATGTTCTCTCCTAGCATGACTGACACACATAGAGAGCATAGAAATCTTCCCCTATTCATGATCTCTGAATTTTGGATTAACGTCTACATTACTTCTTTCAAGTGGTATATTCACCCAGTATTTCCATATTTAGCCACTTTTGCAGAGTTCCTACATACAGATTTATGTTCATGATGCTGTTTATGTGGCAGGTCAAGAGATGGGATACACCAACTCCATTTCGCTCCTTCAACAACAGGATAAAGGGAGTTTAAGTCAACCTGTACTACTGGGGATTGTGTACTTGCTGTTCTGTTTGCGTTGTTATGGAAGTGGCTTGTCACTGCCTTCTTCTCAGATGTGTTTCAGCTTCCCACTGTAGCTAACAAATCTGGCATTGTGTCCCCTTCCAAGTTACAACCTTAGCTTCCAAGACGAGTTAAAGTTGGCTGAGTGCTGCCCCCTGCCGAGGCCAAAGTACATTATCAATATTATTTTGAGTTGTGTTATTAGAGGGTTTCCTGCAGCTACAGAAGCAAATCAAAATGCATCCTCACTTCTACAGAATTATTCTTGTGATTAACCAGATGGGCTAAATTGTAGCCAACGCTGAAATGCACACTATTGTCACAATAGCCTCTCCATTCAAAATAGCTCAACTCTGGAGCCATTCTTCAGAAAACACAAGGAAAATAGAGTAAGAGAGACGGAAATAGTATTGACCCAGGGGATCATTGTAACATGCAGCATTCAACCCTTGATGACTCAAGCATAAATATGGAAGACATTTCTCTTTATCAACATGTTCACTTCTGTTCTGGGTCTTTTGGAGTGGATGTCCTGAGCTGTGGTGGGGTCAAATGCTATCACTCTGGAATTAGTGTTTTAAATGTCCAGAAAATAATCTCTGCTGATGTAAGGGAGAGGAGGCAACCTTCACCAAAGACATTTGATCTTGTGCTGTCCTTTATCCAGGTAAGTCTGGAAAACAAGGAACTTTTCTGGCTTCATGTCTGATCAGGGTGTCTCTCAGATCCTTGCTTTGGAAGTAGGTTAGGGAAATTTGGGCTGCAAGATGTTCTAGCGAAAGGCAATTTGTCTCCTGAATCTCAGCATTTCAGAATGACAAAATTATGAAAGGTTCTGCAGTACACAACTTGAATGCAGCATGGATAGAATTGCGTTGGCTGATTTACACTGTTGGTGTTGCCCTGAACACAGACCAGCCTCCTGCTCTTCAATTTCCGTATCTTATCTAGAGATTGTAGACATTAAATTCTGAAAATTTGGAAGGCACCAGATTGTGGAAGGGAATTGGCTTGGTCTAGTGGTTGGTGTGCTGGACTAGGAGTAAGACCTGAGTTCTAGCCCTATAGTAGGTGTGGAAGCCAGGTGGGTGACTTTGGACCAGGCATTCTCTCTAAATTTTAGAAAGGAGTCCAAGTGTTTGAGAATATTGCTAAAAATTGCATGAAATTGGCCATGCAGTCACCAGAGCACTTTCTTCCATGCCACCTGTCCGGATCTGCATTCACCAGTAGAAAGCCCACGCGATGATACCTCCTCCCGCTCTTATTTAGGACCACCAAGAGGGGCCTCTTCCGCTTTTGTGTTGCTTTAGACGAGTTTGATAGAGCTTCTTACTGTGTGCGATCCTTAACCTCCTCTCTCTTTCAGATTGAGATGGCCCAGAAGCTGTTGAATTCCGACCTCGCTGAATTGATTAACAAGATGAAGCTGGCTCAGCAATATGTTATGACTAGCTTGCAGCAAGAATACAAAAAGCAGATGCTGACAGCAGCTCATGCTCTTGCTGTAGATGCCAAAAACTTACTGGATGTTATTGACCAAGCCAGGCTAAAATCTCTTGGTCAGTCCAGGCCTCACTAGAAGTGAAGAATGGATTTTGCATTGCAGAGTTTAGAAAGGATTGTTACGGAATAAGCAACAGCGACCCTTTCAACAGGAATGAGAACCGATGGTTCAGTCCTGGATTGTCACCTGTTGGTTCTCTTATCTTCAAGTGTTTTTTAAAAAGAAAATCAACAATGCCAAGAAAAGTCCAAAACTGAAACGACGCGACAAAATCTTAGAAACCCATTGAGTTTTTTTTCACGTCACTGAGAATGTGAAACGCTTTAAGATACGAGTTGTTTTAAAAAAAAAAACTGACAAAGGAACTCTGAGCTGCAAAGCTGCGATCGTGTGAAGAATTCTGGGACACCTCAGGGCTGAGAATTCTTTTTCACAATGTATGAACAGTCCTGACTGGAATCCTTTTTTTATTGGAACACTAAATGCCACAAAACGCTAATCACAATTTACAGAGATTAAAAAAGCTATATTTTCAAAGTATCTCATTTCAGAGCAAATTAAATGTCCTCTTCCTACTTCTTCCATGTGGATGTATGTGAACCATTGGGGCAGAAAGTAGCTTGTCTTTTTCACCAGAATAACGTGCCAGTTTTTTGTAGTTGTTTTCCTTCTAAGTAAGAAATGGAGCTGCATTTAGAAGTTCTGTAACCATACATGTTCCCCATTTTTATATAATTTATAAAGAAAGATTAAAGCCATGATAAATATTTTAAAACTGCTTGAATTAACTCATCAAGTGCCTGACTGTGGAACTGTTAAGAATGCATGTATCCTTTGTGGGGAGAATTAGGCATTTTGAAGTATACAAAATTACAATCTTCAATAAAATGAGAAAGGAGGTGCCAAAGAGCCCAGCTTCTCTGGAGAGAGTAAAAAATATATGAATACAATTTCTAATGTCAAATTTGTGTAACAAACCATAGAAGCTTGAGCTCCTTCAAGGATGGAACCAGGGGCCTAGTACTTTTTAAGTGGTACTTATTGATGTCTCCTTGATACAGTACTTAAAATAACTGATTGGAAAATGTTCTATAAAAATCCGATGCCTAAGTAGTAGTTTCAAAGATTACAGGTTGCAAATGGTAGGCAGGATTTGGTCAGCCACCTCACTAAAATTTATTTAACATGAAAACTACCTCCCCCACATAAGACGGGATAGCACTGCAGATAATTGACTGCTCATAAGTCAGTTTATATATGAAGTGATGTAGCAATCTGTAGCAATGGAGAATTACACAAAAGTTGTTATGCGCACCTGTGGCATTCATAAACAAAGACAATTTTTAATTTACGTGTTTTTATCTTTATTATAAAGAGTAGAAAAAATCAGCTTAGTCAAAGAGACCAAAGCCCATGTCGTCATCAGATTCTTCTGACTCCTCTTTCTTTTCTTCCTCTTTCTTCTCTTCCGCTGCAAAACAATTAATAGTGTAGATTAAGCCACGTAGTGACATTTTATCCCACCCCAATTAATTGGAAAGAATGAGAACACCAGACTCCACACATCCTGAACAAACCATCCCACTTACCAGGAGCAGCACCACCAGCAGGGGCCCCTCCCCCGGCAGGAGCTGATGCAGCAGGAGCACCACCACCGACTCCTACATTGCAGATGAGGCTTCCGATGTCAATGTTGGTTAGAGCCTGGTCACAAGTTAGAAAGTACCAGAGTTTCAGCATCTCTATCAAGTATGAGCCACGCATCACTGGGGGATCAGCATCCCTTTCTAAAAGCAACTCTTAATTAAGATGCGTGGACTTCAACTCCCAGAATTCCGCAGCCAGAATGCCAGCTGGGGGGTTCTCGGAGTCGAAGTCCACCCATCTTAAGCGCTGCCAAGGCTGAGAAACGCTGCTGTAGAGAGGTGCAAGACGTGCTCTGGGCCCGCGTGCAGCCACTCGCTTCACCGTGTCGGGAGGCCTCTCGGAGATCACCTCGTCCAGCTCTGCAGACCGCGGGTTCTCCAGCTGCTTTGAGGAAGGGCCGCGGGCCGGCAGCCTCGGCCATCGGAAGTTCCCACCGTGGCTCGTCCTACGCGGGCCAGCGA